TACGCCGGAGATTTCGGCCCCGACACCGCTATCCAGTGACTAATCAGGAAGCTCGGCCGAAGCCTAAGGGAGAGGTTAGTCGGCCCCTAGACCGTAGATGATTAATAATTCTATTATCCCTAACCCGCAAATTAGCATCTTCACATGTATATGATCTGATACGCGTCACAAACATTAAGATACGATGCATAAAATATCTAAATTATAATAAATAACTTAAGGTGGCTGGACCCCCTCACGCTTGACCGCTACCTTCCACGTTTAGAACGCTAGTGCATAAACGTGTTTTATCCGATTGCAAATCATTTTAGCACATAAGTCACATAAAGATTGAATTAATGTTGGATGCAATTTTTAATGAGATCGGACGTCATAACACGTGATTATGATGAAATATGTGTTTTCGTTTAGAAAACAATTTTAGCCTTGCAGAGCGTTCAACACTTAAATGCTTCGTACCACATAATTATATACTAGATGCCTCCATTTGTAGGGATTTTTGAAAATCTATTTAGCTAATTGTGAGATATTCGAGATTCTTTAAATATAGTGCATAATCTACTTCAAAACTAAACAATGGACTTGATACGGCCGAAATTAATATTTTAGTGCTATATACTCACAAAAGTCATTGCTCATTTAGTTTTACTCTGTATCTAGTTTTAAAAGGAACATTTTGAAGGTAATCGACTTATGCGATATTGTGAAAACGTATAGTGCGTAAGACGTACCACTTTTTCAGGTAAGAATAATTATCCAATAGAGACGTGAGATACTGGACACGAGAGCGAGCATTACGTCATCAATCAGATAATCAGCCAATTACCCTGCCCGCGCTTTCAGTTGAATGAAGTTGCAGAGAAAAAACTAAAGCGAAAGAGAGTGATAAAAGAATTTGCAAACGAAACATTGCTRAGTGGATTATTTTAAGATTCCATAGCGCATAGCACTGGTTCAGGTAAGAACTTTGACTTTGACTTAGTCAAGTGGTTTGATTAYGATTCTCTTTTTTACTGAGTTCCGTGGAAATTATTCAATCAAACTTCAGCAGGAAAACATTAAACTGCGTGTAAAAAATGAGAAACGTCTTTTGGCATCTGATAATGACGACTAGCTGTGCTGTAAGCCCGAGCGAAGAAATAGATATGAAGAACCAATGCARGTATACTGCWGAGTTTGAATGACCTTTATCAAATACTCTCAGAAATATACTAGGTTAAAGCATGTAAAGAATGTAGAAGCGCACGTTTTATAAGCCCAAACGTACAGAACCAGTTTAGTCTCTTCCTCCTTTTCATCAATCCGTAGTCCTCTTATATCTTCGTTATTACGAATTAACGTTAACTGGGCAAGTATTGTCAAAATAAACATTTATGGGGATATTGGATCTCCCTGTTTGGTACCTCCTTTTAGCTCAAAAAATCAAAAGCTTTTCCATTATTAATAATACAACTATTAGAATTAGTAAGGAGTGTATTGATCCATCTAACAAAACCATCTCCAAAGCCGGCCAAAAGATCGAAGAACAGCAAAGATGAAGTTATGCTCAACGGAATCGAAGTCTTTCTGAAAATCTGCTGCAAGAAGAATATATGAACGATCATCACTTCTTTCTAAATAATCAAAAACATCCGCTATTAATCTATAAATCTAAATCGAACACTGGTTAATTCAGGCCCTGATGAACCATATATAGAAAKGCCATATAGCTTAATTTTGACATAACTATGGATTTATGGATTTGAATATACGTTCGATCTGAGCCCACGGAGAGCGTGCGCTCAAAAACCGCTGAATAATCTACAAGATTTTATTGAAAAACCATATACGTTTTGGCAAAACCCTAAAAATTTCCACGGGACTCTAAGCTTATTCGAAAAAAATTCGAAACATCTACGCAAAAATATAGAATTTTGTAGGAAATGCGGGCGCATGCTCTTTCCGTTTTGTTTTTGGCGATCAAAAGAATAAACGRAAAGTATGCACGCGCRCAAGTTGATGAAGCACGAGAATGGGGTAAGGCGAAATTTAAACTGCATCCGGTTACTAAAAATAGCCCAACTGGTAAACTATTCATAGTCAACTTGAATATGTAAATTATGTCCCAGAGGARTTGTTAATATGTATTCTCACGGACTTTATACTAATACAAAAGGAAAAGGACGCCATAAATTAATCACTCTCATTAAACCACCRACGAAGGATTGTATGTTTTTTGACCCACCCACCCGCGCACGAGCAAGACGGGTTCATCCACATTCTGTCCCATTTGTTGCTCYCCAGCCAGGATTTGTTCCAGGCCAGAGTTGCCTTTGCATACGGGCCTTAATATTAACAATAGATGTGGAAGAATATTGCACYTTCGCATGTTCAGTTCACGTACAAGAAAAGCAGTTTCGTTCGCCTCCTATCGACAAACCAAAGAAGACTTTCCTTCAATAGTGTTATATTTATATTTATTTATTTCTATAGATAATTTAATTCAATATTGAATGAAATAAAAACATTTGCATTAATAAATCTGACTCAGTTCGTTCTTGTCAAGTTTAACTGAATGTCAATTACAACTTTGTTTTTCGAGAACGTTTGTCGCTCGTGATTTCCACATCTTTTTCACACAAAAACAGTTTAAACTGGTGAAATAGAATATCAAAATCTAGTAGGTTTAGTTTTTAAGCTTCTCGAAGAATAGTTAAACACGCTTATATGAAAGGAATATACAATCTTTTTATAAATAGCGATAAATAAATTATTTTCTAAACTGACACTTTTTTTTTTCGTTCAGGCTCTTGAGTAGTTTAGTGAGTTATGCCTAGGGGGCAAGAGATCGATTTCAGGACGACTCTCAAGAGCACACAGTTACACATTTCAACAAACAGGCTACAGGCATTTGTACAATATTACTTAAACTGATGAAATGCTTAGCTTAGTTCGTGTAATTAAGATTACTTTGGGAAAAACATTAATTGCTTAAAACATGTGATTTTGCAAAGAATGGTGTTATTTTTATGTTCGCCTTCCGGTTACAGCCATATCTGTAATGCTATATTTTGTCATATTTTAAGGTCATGTAACACGAAAACGAGAATGATGACCCTCCTTATTTATTGCATATTTGAAACGTACGTGGTGCAATGAACGACTACACAAAGTTCGGGGGAAATGACATTTCTTCTATTTCAAGGGAATCACCTTAATGGAATTTACAAATATCCACCAAACCAGTATTGAATCGTACTCTCGCCATTTGCGCTTCCTCGAGTCGCTGGGTTAAAATCAAAGCACGTTGCGCCAAAATTGTTTTCATCCTTTACTGATCCACTGGTAGCATCATATTTACAGATTTTCCTGGAACTGTCGGTGTGGAAAAAATACACATCATTTTGCCAGAATGGCACTGTGATATCTTTTCCCTTGATGCCTCGGATGTCAATGTATTCTACAGTCTTACAGACTCCAGCCCCAGTAAAACTCAAGATGTCTATACTTGAAATCTTGGCTCTCAAGTAGTCTCGATAATCGACACCATGAACAGGAAAACTTGACGTCACTCTGACATATGTTGATTGCTTTGAAATGATTTCCATCCGTTCAGTGCCTAAACGATAGCTTTCCCAGTTTGGATTGTCTTTCTCCATTCCTTTGCCTGTGGTAAAAAAAACCGAACAGAATGCCTTTTCCCGTCTGTTCTTGTGGGCATACGAGAGGATGAGAGTTCATGCAGAACCAGGCTCTGAGCTGAGATCGCACCAGACTTTATATTGATTGCCATTGGGGCGTGTGATGGTGTAGACACCGTCTTCGGTGGCTCCCATTCGAAGGTAATCAAGGCAAGACTTGGCATCCTGGAACATAACACATTAAAAGCCAAATTTAATCATTATTTGGTGTCAGTGTAGTATGTGTGGTGTATTGTACTGCAAATTGAAAAAAACGCTTTCGAGTTGGAAGGTTAAATCATTAGAGCTAAGACAAAAGGGATTATGGGTATTCAATATCTTGGGCATTTTGGAGAGTGGAATTTCATAAGAACACATGCATGAAGAGTTTGTTCGGTATCCTAAATCGATGTTAATTGTAGAGCTGCAAAACTGCAAAAAGCATAATATTGGTTTTATTAGTTGTATTCCCAGAATACCCTTCGGTCTTAACTTCGATGTTTTAACCTTTTCAACCCTACACCTCTTTTTCAATTTGGTTTAGTTATAGTTAATTTGAAATATACCCGCGATATGTCTAAGGAAAAAGTATTACAACCTTGCAAAGAACTTGAATAGTACAGAAAGTACAGAGTAGAAGAAGGTGTTTACTGTTGTGTCCACTAAACAGTCCCAAGATGCACTGCAATACGAACTCCACACTTTTATTTCGCAACCTCGAATGGCTAATAATAAGCAATTATTGGATGAGGTTGAGCATGCCGAAGCCGAAGGCTGAGGAAGATAACACAGCCGAGGTCTTGATAATTTACGATATCATTGGAAAAAATTGCCCATACGTTTGATTTATTTGCTCTTTTCGGTCTTTTTCCTTCTTTCCCAAAGCAAAAAGTTGTTCTTAAAAGTGAGGTTATATAGCACAAGTAAACTGCGTGACAAAACATCCTAAATGACCCGTAAATCTTCTTTTCTTTCGCTAACTRCCGTAGTTAGCATGTTTTCGAGGGTACGAAACCTAAGAAACCATAAGAGGCGAATGTAMTGTATAGGCCAACAGATAGYATGAGCTTATAAAATCAGCAAAAATACGGTTCTAAATTTTAACAAATTCCTATGAATTATATACCAAAATGTTTAGGAAAGCCAGGGGTTTTCAAATCCACTTCTGTTTTGTTTTTGTTTTTTTTTGTTTTTTGTTTTTTTGTTTTTTTGTTTGTTTTTTTTTTGTTTTTTGACAGGTTCTGTTTTATTTCAAGGAGAGACGATTTTCTAGCTTGACCTCGGTTATGTCATGCATTTTCTCTTGTAAAATACATCCAACATTGTACATTCAACTCAAAAAGTACGGTGGTTTTTTTCAATAGAATTCAATCTAAACCATATAATACAGTCTGTGAATAGTTGAACTAACTGAATCCACTTCGGTTTTTTGCTTAGATAGTCATTATTTTGAGAAAAGATCCAAAAACCGTGTTTTTGAGTCATAATTTGTATGGGCTTACATAGGGGGTGTGAGCTTGAAATCGTAGCTGACCAAATGTTAACAGATTTTTTTCATATGATGCGATAACCGAATTCAATAATTGCTTTATTATACATTTTGTATGCTGGAAAAAAAATGATATAAACTTAAAATTATAGAGACAAGAATTATGAACGCCATGATGTCGCGTGAAAAACGCAAAATTTTTAAATCAGAATTGAAATATTTCAAGAATTATTCATAAAATATATGAAAATAAGTTAAGGATTCCTTAAATAATTGTTTTTATACATAATTCTGGAAATAAATACACATAATGAATAAAAACAAAGTTACCTCAGCGTGACCTTGAATGAACTTGACATGATAAATGCATTATCTGTAGGAAAACCTACAGATAATACATTTATCATGTCGAGTTCACACGATATCAGGGATTGGCTGAGGGCTCTCGACCAATCCGAATTGAGATACTTACTAATACCCCTATTTATTCTAATACCCCTCTCCAGTGCAAGCAAAATTGATGAAAATCGTACTACTTTAAGAACTTAAAAGTCAACATACTCGTTAACTCGCAGAAAAGAACATTTCCACAAGTGAGCCCTGGATACTCAAGACCCATTCCCAAGGTATCTCAGTATACCCTGCCACAGGGTCTAGTTTAGTCTTGATTTGTCCTAAATCTCCAGATTTTCGATTTCAATTAAAGACATCCGAGGTAAATTTCACTAAATTTGATATTGTATTGCATTATCTATAGTTATCTTTGTTTTTTTTTTAAGTAAAAGAGATTCAAAGCCTAAGACTGTTGGCCTTGGAAAACTTTGTTGAAGAATCTTCCAAGAACAAAACTAGCCCCTGGGGGTGGTGGTGAGTTTTGTACAAAATTCCTAAGTGGGAGAGTATACTCGTGCAAAAAAAACAAAAACAAAAACAAAAACAAAAACAATGTGTTGCTTTTTTGATTCGATTTCACTGCATGGTTTTTATTATGGGAGGAATTTAATATTATTTTCACTTTTCAGTTTCATTCAAATTGTTCTCCGTGTGATTTCCGTATCGGGAGCTCCGCTTTTAGGCAGTGCCTAAATACATATATTACAATTCGCGCTTCCCATCATCCCGACAACGAGCAACCGTCAAATATTGTACTCATACCAGTGACGTTTTTATATCTATTAAATTCACCTCTGTTTGTCCATCATAGTAGTGGATGTACAGAGCATCGTCCTGATAAGATCCTGGATCGGATTTTCTGGTAGCGTTGTTCAGCTCACAGACATCCTTTTCAGCAGCCCCTTTTGGTTTGTAGTTGTACGACAAGCACTGGGCATTGCTTGTGCATAGAAAACTACAATCAACTGGCGATACCACGTGATGGCTTGATATCACGTGACCATTTAATACTTTACCTAAAAAGGATTAATACAAACTAGTCAATTGCCCGTAAATAAATTCGCCTTTTTTAAATTCTGAGAAATACGCTAATCTTTTGTTGTGTGCACTCTGTCATGTCTTCAGGGTGAARCATAAAATTATCGTGATTTATATGTGCAGACAACTGCCAATTTGCCTTAAAGATTAATAAATACATGTATGAGAAAACTTATACAAGTCTCTTAAGTCAGTATGTATATTTTTCAAGTTAGGGTAAATAAATGTCAAATTTGTTAAGAAACGACCTCATTGGCTAGAATTTGACAGAAAGTGACGCAGTTGACGTTTTAACACTTGAAGGGGTTGCCGCAAGTCATTTCAAGTCGCTCGGTAGTCTGACGTTTGCCGTGTGTTTTCTTGTTCAAACTTCAGCATTTAATTTCTTAAATAACATAACTTTTGTGACAAAGCCAAGATCCATCTTTAATGGCGTCAAATAGATCGGAGGAGCTCCAGATAATCGAATGGAGAAGTTGTTATATCAAAAGAGTCAGTTTTCCTTTGGCCATGCGTGCTTTGTTGAACAGGTTTGTTTATGGAATAGCTTTCAGATTTTATCGATATCAAAAAGTGATGATTTTTAGGCATGTTTTGGCCCTTTTTAAAGTTAAATGAGCAATGTAATTAATTAGCAATTCAAATTTAGTTAATTTTGAATCATTATTTTTTTCTAAGGTTTGTAATTAAATGAATTAAACTGGAAATAAAACTACGTCGTTGCCAAGCCACGTCGTTGTGTCGTGTCCGTATTCAGTGGAGAGTTGTCGAAGTGATACTTTTTTCGGGGAATTGAATAAGCCTGAAGCGAGATGACGTTTTACCCCCGACTCTATACCATAATAGTTTTTAGAATTCTTTCATATTCAAATTTTTGATTCCTTAGAGAATACAGGAAAAATAGTCATAATTAAAGAACAAAAGCTGTGTGAAAAGGATTATGGTCTACAGACGGGGGTAAAACGTCATCTCACTTCAGGCTTATTAAGCATTTCTTTCCGTATAAAAGCATAGGAATGGCATGGTTTTTGAATGTTTTACTCCAGCAGGTTTTTAGTTCATGCTATTTGAAGACTCCCTTTATAGCGAAGCTCCCGCGGAGCACCATACATAAGAAAAAATGCTGATAAACCATCGAGTTGATTTTTCGAGGCTTGGCTGACGTCACTTCCGTCCGTCCGTTCGTGGACACAACACAGGAATCCCGCCCTCAAATCCACAGGAAAAATCGCTTTAGGACAAGTTATAGACCAACAACAAATAAAAAAAGCTTCCATGTGCAGTGAAACCCCTCTATACCGGACCCTCAGTATACCGTAATTCTCTATAAACCGGACAAAAGTTTTGGTCCGGAACTTTTTCCCATATATCTTTTGTAAAATAAACCTCAATAAACCGGAACCTCTCTATTCCGTAAACCGGACGATAATTTCGGTACTAAATGCTATTTGACAATAGAATTCAACCCCGCTAGTCCGGAAGAACGTACTTTTGTTTCGGAACTACCGCCACTGGCGTATTTGCGGGTGTATAAATTGAGTCTACAGGGACATCTTCTAAACTCACAAAATCATTGAAAATTTTCTTTAAATAGTAAATCTTGTTCACAAATAGACATATAAA